TAAGCTTATCTAGGTTAATAGCTATTATTTGCTTATTTCTTTTTGTTCTTTTAAATTCTATCCTAATTGTTGCAAGAGGGTAAGTCTTGCATGCTTTTACTGCGTTTTTGTATCTTTTGTTGACCATTATGTAATCGATTTGATTTCTTGTGATGCGTCCTTCTATTCCATCTGCTGGAGATTTCCACGTGTTTCACTACGAGACAAGATCCCAAATCGCCAGCTACGACAAAGAACAGGAGTGGCTGATGCAGTAGAGAGAGTAGCAACACTGAAATGAAACTGTGCAGGTCACGTGGCTCGAATGACAGATAATAGATGGACAAAGCGGATACTGGAATGGAGACCAAGGAATGATGTCTACCGAAGTAGAGGTCGTCCACCAACACGTTGGACTGACGATCTAAAACGTTGTCATAGGAATTGGATGCAAGAGGCACAAGATCGAAATAGATGAAAAATTATGAGGAACATCTATGACCAGCAGTGGATAATCGAAGATTGAATGATGAAAGTAGGAAGTCACACTACTAATAATATGAATTGTGTCCAATCTATGTCATTAATTTAAACGAAAGCAACTGGTTTTAATAAAAAAAAATTAAAGTAAAAACTCTTACCGAAAGTCATGGTAATTTTTTCCACCACTAGCGTAATCAATCATCCATCCAGAAAACGGAGAGCATATCATTCCTCCAATTATTACGTAAACTTTTTGAAATCCATAATCATCGTTCTTTTCTCTTAGAACAGTTTCAAACATAATAATACTAGCACTATTGATGATATCGAGAACAACACGAATACCGAGGTAAGACCAAAAACTGAGTGCAACGTTCTGTTCTACCTTCAATACAGGATTTATGCAGACGTTTTCTCTGCGAGTAGTGACCAAGCACCTAAGAGAACAACTTCCTATATCCAGATGTTTAATGGGAGAATGAGGTAAATCTACGTTTATACTCACACTTATAAGTTTAGTATTCATCACCTCATTTCTCTTGCATGTGATATTGTTTTGTTTTGTGGAATTTAGATAATCAAATTCAAATGTCTGTGTGTTTTCTTCAATATCATAGTTATCTGGAGGAAGTAGTTTTAATCTAGCGTTCCAGAATTTTTCTAGTCTCTTAAAATCAACAAACTGTTCATTGCCTCCCATAACACATCCTATATTCGGCTCATTTGTCATGTTACACGTAAAATTAAACATATGCATAGTTGGAAAGTAGAATGAGTTTTTGGACATCTTCATTATAGTATTTGAATATCGGTGATTGTTTTTTAATAAAATTTTACGTTGTGTTTCCATCCTTAGCTCTGATTCATTTTCAGGTATAACTGGAAACGTATAGACCATAGGTTTACTGTATATGACGTCATAAAGCAATACCTGATAACGAGAAACATTCATAACATAGTCGGTGTAGGTTTGATCCAAGTAAGCCTGGCAACCAAAACCGCAGGATTGCTGATGAAACAAACTATCTAGAGTTTTTTTATTTTCATGAAGAATGCACATATCTTCACCGTGCAAAGAGAGGTATGGGATTGATTCTCCCTCACACGAAACACTGAAAATCAAATTTTCAGGAAACATGACCGTAGTTCTTGCTACAGGAACCAGAAGTAAAAGCAATGCTGTAGGTCCTGCAGCTACTGAAGATACTGCTAGTAGGTACTAAAAATACAAAACAAAACTTATAAAAATATTAAAAATCAAAAAATTGTTGTGTTAATAAAATCATTACTCCAGTAACTAAAACTATAACATATCATCTGAGAAACAGTATACTCGTATCTTATAACTAGAGACTTAATTATATGCAAAATGCATGTGCGTACATATGCAGCATATTTGTGGGTTTCTTTCTAAATGCATGTGCTATTTGGATTTTTTTTTTCACATGGAATCTGTAATAAAACGGTTTAGCAAATAGGTATACCGATTTTCTTGCAAAAATGAGATTTTAAATTCAATTTTTGAATCGTTAAAATATAAGTGGACTCACCTTTTTATCACAAATAGTACAGAAAACACTTTCATTGTCTATAATCTACATTTCACTGTTGCCACCAAACCAACTCCGCAATAGACGTGATTTTTGTTTTGTTACTTTCGGCATATTTTCAAAAAAGAAATTATTTTTATTTTATAAGCACAATATAGTTGCTTTGGCAGCTGACAAAGAGAATTTAAAAACGAATTTACTGTATAATACCTAGCTGTATGTTGGCCCTATTCTTCTGATAAATAATTCCCAGATGGGTTTTCCCAAACAATAAAATTTGTAGGTCTAGCATATGTATTTATAAAGAAACCCACAAATATTCTGCATATATACGCACATTCATTTTGAATATAATCCGGTTTCTAGTCATATCCCTACCCACCCAATGACGTTCGCGATTCTGAGCAACGAGGCTTTTTTAAAATTCTTGTGTACCATGAGCTTTTTACCACCTGATCTTCATTTTAACCACCTAAGCTGGTTTTCGTTACAATCTTCTATCTTTCTTTATGAATCAGTGTTTATTTTCTTCAAATATAATAAAGATGTCGAATGGTACTTAACTAAATATGGAAGAAACAATAAAAGTCAAATAATTAATAAAGCAAAAGCAGCTTTTTATCCCCATACTTCCCAAATTAATTTATTATTTATTCCCAAAAGTTTTATTCCCAAAATAATTTATTCCCATACTTGAAAGACTAAAATTTACCTTAACATGTCCAATTTTATCTGCAATACGTCCTATGAATAATGGTAAAATAATTGATACAAAGGGAGTCACAAAAGATATTATTGCAGTTTCTTGAACATCCAGTCCTAGATGCTTCATTTGAACGACCAAAAATGGATAAAGGATCAACGTAGCTAAAAAAAACAATTTCTGAACCGGTATATATAGATTGAACATAAGGAAATCTTGGTAATATATGAAAAATTAAAAAAATACTGGTCTCCAATTTGTCTATCTGTAAAGACAAACTTACATAATGAGTGAATAAAAAACAGCATTTTAGTCGGCAACAGCTCATTTTGATTAAAGTCCTTGATCACACAATCAAAAAATGTCTTCATACGCTGTGCCATATTTGGACATTTACCATGAAAGCTGAAAAAAAAATCTTGTTGTAGCTGAATCTTGTAACATCTAAAATGTAACTTACAAATATGTAAGAAGACGAGAAATAAGCAGATTAAACAGTATATCCATCGTGGCAATGATGGCATGCTAAGGATGGAGTGATATCGTAAACCTTGTTTTAGTTACCCTTTCATTCTCAACATTCATCTAAGATGAAAACAAATTGGTTTTGGCCCTAAAAACTAGGGTTATCAATTTGTCACACATCGAGTTCAGAGACAAGACTAATACCAAACTTCCTTGGCGCGAGCTAAGGGATTCAATCGAGATGCAGTTAATAAATTTTTCGACCTGTTAGAAGATATATTAAAGAATTAAAACATTTCCCCTAAGGATATCTATAATGTTGACGAAAACAGGAATCACGACGGTTCCTAATAAGGCATTAAAAATTGTACCGCTGAGGAGGAGGAAACAAGTAGGTGCTTTAGCTTCATCTGAAAGAGGAACACTAGTAACAGCCAAGACCTGTATGAGTGCTGCTGGAAACTACATGCCCACAATGTTTATATTTCCACGAAAAAGAGAAAATCCTGCATTAATGGACGATGTTCCAGCAGGATCCTTTGCTTTTTTCCATGAAACAGGGTGGATTACAACAGAAAGCTTTTTAGTTTGGTTCAAGCAATTTGTTGAGTTTTGAAACCCAAAACCAGACAAGCCAGTCTTGATTCTATTGTATGGACATAGAGCGCACTCAAAAAGCATCGAATTGATTAATATTGCGAAAGAAAACAATGTTATTATACTCTGCTTTCCTCCTCATACGACTCATCGGCTACAGCCACTGGACGTGTCTTTTATGGATCCTCTTAATACCTACCATGAACAAGAACTCAGAAAGTGGTTGGTCAACCATCCTGGACGAGCGGTCACAACTGCACAAGTCGAAAAACTTTACGGTGCTGCTTTTCAAAAAGGAGCCTCAGTTCAAACAGCAGTTAAGGGCTTTGAGAAAACTGGTATATATCTTTTTAACCGTGACGTGTTTCCTGAAACAACGGAAAGACCCTTAGATCAAAATCACCAACTTAAACTTTCTTCGACATCAAACAACTGTCCTACTCTTCAAACGTCATGGTTCATGCCTGAACAAGATGGTTAAGGAAGTAGCTCGTGTCTCAAATTATCTAGTTTGGGTAATAAGACATCTTAGTTTCTCAAATGAGGCACCCTGATCAAAAAGACCTATTCGTGCCTCGAATCTGCCACTTTGGATAAAGATACCTCTTCTTGCCTTCTGCCAAATTCTGTGTCAAATACTTCCCATGCTGTAACATTTCTACACCCAACCCAACCTGATTTGTGTACTTCTGGATCATCCATGGAGCAGCCTCTTTTGCTATAATGTCACCAAGGTATCTGATGCCACCTCCCCAAGAACAAGAAAGAATCAGAAATACAACACCTAACAGAAGACGCGGCAAAACCGCAGTTTTGATGTCGTCACCTTACAAGAAAGAACTAGAAAATGAAGAAAGAGAAAGAAAAAACCTAAAAAAGAAACTGTTTTAAAACCTCTAAAATAACAGTAGCGATAAAGAAAACCTTCCAAAAACTGATGTTGGTCCCAGATTAAAGAAAATGAAGTTCGAAAACCAGAACGAGTCTTCCTCATCTGAAGAAGCAGTGATGAGGCTTGCAGTTAATTATTTCGAGCATTCAACCTTATATCAATTATTATGTTATTAGTTAATTTTTCTTTATAATAATTTATTTTCTTAATCAATCCCTAAAGATGAGTAACAGACGAAATAGAAGTTTTTTATGGGATCATTCCGAGAAAAACGATAAAAATCAAAAATCTGCAAAATGTAATTACTGTTCATGTGATGTTAGTATTGCAAGTGGTTCACTGGGCAATTTATCAAGACATTTAAGAATGAAACATCCTGCTATTAATCTCAAATATCTCAATGTTGAAAGATACATAGAAAAAGGACCCGAAAAATCAGAAAATACATTTAAATAACCTCAACCTTCAACGTCAAAATCAGTTTCGATTGTAGGACAAGCAGAGGAAGATGAAGAGAAAGCAGCATAATTCTTAAGAAAGCCTGCTCCTACTCCTCTTGTTTCTATCAGGGACTATGTAATTCGACCCATTCCATTCGAAATATATCATCTCATTCATTCATTAGTTTCTTCTTTAGAAGTACAGACACAATTTATAAAGCAAATCGTTCACAGTGAACTAGTTCTATGAAAATTAATGAACTAGTTCAATTAGTTCAGTTGAAAGAATCGTTCATTTGAACTATTTCGATGGTGAACTACACATCCCTACCAAGTAGTAAATAAAATAAGTCTACCAAAACTTATTTAGTGTTAAAGTAATAATCACTAACTCTATTGCACTTTAAACAATGTTAACTACAGTATTCACTTCTTGTAAATCACTAACAATACACTAGCGTCCCCATTTTGGACAACTCTCCCCTATTTGCTTAGTGAATTAAACATTATACTTACAATAAGTTCACCAAAAAATCTTACCTCAAAGAATAAGTTCAAATCTATATAGGACATAAGGAATAATATCCTACAGCTTCATAGCCACTCTTTAAACTAATACAATTGTGATTTTAATTTGTTTATCAACGCGTAAATGGAGGAGAATGATTTATTCTTCCACACTTGTCGTTTGATATCTTTTAAAGAACATGAACAATGCTAAATATCATTTATTACTTTTTCTTTTTCAAAAATCCGTCTGATGTGTTATAAAATTAAAAGTATACGTCTTCATAACGTGTCATTGTTTTATATTTCTACACCACATATTACTTTCATTTATATTCAAATTGAAAAATTGGTTTTTACGATCTCAATTGGACAAGTACCTATATAAAATATACCAATTAGCAACACCGTTGTAAATAAGGCACGGCGCATAATACTTTTAATAACACCGATTTTTTTATAATTGTATTTACTCAATATTTATTTAAAATTTATAGGAGTTTAATTTACAATTAAAAGTATTAATTACCATTCATAAATTTTTAATTACTCATTTTCATTTTATGTACCAATAAAACACTGAAAACTTTGTTTTCAAACTTCCACAAAATTTATTTTAAATCTTATCACTACAGCTGTTTCAGCTGATTGCCTTTCTCAAGTAATCTATTTTTGGCTTGAGTTTACAAATTTATAGTCTCTAATGAAATAGGTTGAGGAGGGGAGAACTGTTTGTCTCAAGTTGGTCATTCAGAATTATATTTGTGTTTTTTAATTTGTTAATTTCCATAGATTCTAACAAAGATAGCTTAAGGCCTTTATTTTGAATGTGAAGAATTTTAAATTTGTCATTAAAGAATGATTATCATCTAGAAGGTGAAGTGCGTATGTCGAATCTGTTTTTCTATTCTTGAAAGCCCTTTTATGTTCTGCTATTCGTTTATCAAAGTTTCTACCAGTTTGACCGATGTAAGTTTTTGGGCAGTCGCCACACTGAAGTTTGTACTTCTGTCTTGTTGAAGTTCCATCTTCTATCGAAGGTTGGAAATCATCATGGCTATGCGGACTCTGTTGACTGCCGCTCTAAAAAGTTCTGCACTACTGCATTCAAACCATTCCCTTAAGTTCTTAAGCCAGGATATTCTTCGTCTTACACACCACTATTTTCGTCTTACACACCACAAGTTTGTACACACCACTATTTAAGTGTTTTTTATTTTGGCTCTTGTTATTTTTAATATATTTGCCTAGGTTGTTATTTGTTCGGAAAGCTGGTGTTATTCCTTCCTTTTTTATGTGTTTGGCAATTTTGGTGTTATTTTGCCTGTATATGTGATCGAGCAGAAGGTATTGGGTTTTTTCTCTGGTGGTGGAAATACTAATTTTAGGGCTTTCTTGTGTAGTTTTTGATTTAAACATTTTATTAATTGTTTGTTCGTTGTATCCGTTGTTTACTGCTATTTGCTTAATTATATTTAATTCTGTCTCAAAGTTGTATTTTGACGTCGGAATTTCTGTTAATCTATGTAACATACTATGATAAGCTGCCAGTTTATGTTGTGTTGGATGGGATGATGAATTGTGTATAGTCGTGTCCGTATGGGTAGGTTTATGAAATATGGAGAAGTCATGTTTGTTTTGAAGTCTAAAAATTAGCAGACTTACTTTACTTTCTGGATCTTCATTTGGGCATACACTCAGACAATTACGATGTTTTGCCCATTCTTTTTATTTCCAGTATTAGCAGTTGTTCATTTACTTCAGTCCACGATTTAATATTGTTTTTAAGATTTTTTCGAATGGCAATAGAGACTCCTCTCTTAGCTCTGTTATCTTTACTGACTCCACTGTAGATATGTATATATTCTCCTATCTCTTCATTTCCTTTTCCCTTTTTTTCCCTTTTGTCATAAAGATACAAAAGATATTGTAGGTAGCTTAAAGTTATGAACTTTATAATGTGTGGAATGGTTCAAAACATGAAACACACCATGCCACATCACATTCTTTACAAACAAGTGTTGGTCTGACAACTTTCTTTTTTGTACTACAACCTTAACCAACTTTCAAACAAAAATGAGCAGGATCTCTATCTGCATGGACTCATAGACTCGAATGCGGTGCAAAGCATTAGAAACCGTAAGGCATCCGTAGCATCAAGTAAGCATAAAAGTTATTCTTGTAAATACCTACTATGTTTGTAGTAATGGGTAGAGAAAACAAGTATGCAAGAAAGCTTTCATAAGCTTGCATGGAATAACAAAAAAACGAGTCTATCGTTTATGCAAACTAAAGTCTCAGAACAAACTTCTTCGTGATTTAAGAGGAACAGCAATATCGTCTAGGCATAATGCTATTGATGGCACCTACTTGCATCGAATTCATCAATTTGTTGATCCTTTACCTAAAAAAGAAATCCGCTACTCAAACAATATTAAAAAAATACCTGTCTGCTTCATTAAACATTACAATTATTGGACAAGAATCCGGATATCACCGATAAAATCATAAATTATAACTACTTCTATTCCTATTTTAAAGAAAATTTCGATCTTTCGTTTGGCAGACCACAGGTGGATGTGTGTTCACTGAGTGAAAATTTAAAA